GTTTACGTTTCCCTCTATTTCCATTTTCCTTTTAAAAGTGTTTATTCTTCAGGAAGTAGGTAACTACTAGAAGGTGTACTTAGAGGCAATTGGGGTGTGTTCAGGTAATTACTTGTTAGATATTCAGGAGTCCAAGGATGTGTAATTCTTTTCTTTTTAATTTCCTTGGAGTAGAGTTGATTTACAGTGTTGTTGGGTTAGTTTCTTCTGTGCAGCGGTGGCTCAGCCGCACACGTATATTCTTTTTCATACTCTCGTCCATTGTGGTTTGTCACAGGATACTGAGTATCGTGCCCTGTGTGATTCCTTTTTAAGGTGCTCCCCTGACAGCTCTCCGTGGTCCTCTGTGTCCCTGGAGCCTGCACACGTGGGGGCACCATGCTGTGTTTGGGCTGCACATGCTTCCCTGCCCTGTCACCGCTGTGCTTGACCTGGTCCATCTTAAGTTTGTCCCCTTTCTCGAGGGCCCGGTCCTGGGCTAGGAGCTGAGAGTCCAGGGAGAGAAGAGTCAGCCCCTCCTTCAGGGGATGGGCTCTCTGCCTCCTGCCCGTTTGTCCCAACCTTCAGACCTAGCCTTCCTGTGTGCTAGGTCTGTGCTCAGCTTTCCACCAGTGATTTAAAAATGGCCTACGCTCACTTTCTTTCTTTCACAGTTCTCTGACCCATTTCGTTCCTCCTCGTAAGATACCTGAGCCTACCCCCCTGTCCCTCCTCTGCCGTTACTACCCCTGGGTCTGCAGCCTCCTGGGCTCACTGGGACCTGGGCAGCCTTCCATCCATGGCTTCCCCAGTGAGCCGCGCTGCCCTCGTGCCAGTGGCTCACTTCCGAAGGCGGAGCTCTGTGTGTGGTTATGGGGCCCCATAAGCTGCTGTCTGTGTGCTTTCCTCGGGTCCACACACTGCTCCCTTCCCTGTCACGATGCTGGGGAAATCATTTAGGAAATTGTGCTGAGTTGGAAACTAGGGCCCAAATTATCTACTGCAGACAATTCATCCAACAAAAGCTAGATTTTTACCCCAACCCTTCTCAGCCTCCTGGTCCCCTGCTCACAGGGGAGTCTCAGGGGAGGAGCATCTGATTGGCCTGGCTTGGGTCCTTTTACCACACCTTGCTAGAGGGAGGTGAGTGAAATCCAGGTGAAAGGGGATTGGCACGCATTCCGCTCACCGTACGTACGTTGGACTCTGGTCTTTAATGATTATATATATACTTTGGGAACGTAAGTCCCTTGAAGAAAAGGTCTCACTATAGATCCGTTGTGTGCTATACCCAGCACACTGTGAATTTCTGATAAATGCAAAGCATTGAAGGAACTTGAGCTCAAAATGCAAATCTTTTAAATTTCCAAATTTCCATTTCCTTTGCTCATAAGGACCAGGTACACCGATGGCAAGTCATCGTCCTCTTGCTGTGAATTTATGACATACGGATTGAGCAAGGACTTGCAGGAACTTGTAAAGGGAAGTCACTGCAGCCCGGTCCTTACTCTCTACTTTGGAGAGTGTGCGAGAAGGGTAGGACTGAGGGGTCACAAAAACCTGTGGGTGAGAGTGGGAATTTAGGGTCAGTGTGTGTGTGAGCATTTCGACTGTTTGGCAGCAAGTCTTAAAGAATGAGAGCCATCCTTGGGAAACTGGGCTTCATTCATTCAGGAATCTGCTTTGCCATACTCTTTATTTCTCATGCTTAACCTGTGCTTAAATAAATGTTGGGCCGCTAGACTTTGCCTGATGTGCTGTTCTTTTCGATGGGAAAAATATTCTAAAACGTGAAAGTTGCCATCCTGGATATAGTTGAGGGAAAAAATGTTGGTCTCACCAAAGTTCTCATTCAGTCACTTCCCCATCTGTGACAAAGAACACAGAGACTGAGTGGAAAAGCCCCAAACGAGGGAGCCAGATCGCCTGGTGAAAGTACAGCGTGACACAAACATCTGGCTTTCTATCATCGGCCTTCCCACTACTAGTGTTAAGTCTTAAAAATCTCAGGTCTCGGTCACCCGAGACAAGGTCGTGTACCTGTGTGGGTTCTTTGCTGCAAGCAGCAGAACCGACTCTTTGTTAATTTAGCCAGAAGGGACTTCATTGGAGGCCATGGCCGCTGAGCCTGCGCGTCCGGAGCCTGTGCTCCGCAAATGGGAGAGGCCACAACAGTGAGAGGCCCGCATAACGCAAGGAAAAAAAAAAGAAAAAAAAAAATTATATTTCAAGCCCATAAAATAATTTAACTCTGAAGAATTTTGAATAGGAATGTACATTAGATATTATAGATATTGGATTGATAGATAAAAATCAGAAATTGTCTTTTGAATCCAATAACTTCAATGTGACCACATTTGTTAAAACTGAGATCAGGATATAGTTGAGGGAAAAAATGTTGGTCTCACCAAAGTTCTCATTCAGTCACTTCCCCATCTGTGACAAAGAACACAGAGACTGAGTGGAAAAGCCCCAAACGAGGGAGCCAGATCGCCTGGTGAAAGTACAGCGTGACACAAACATCTGGCTTTCTATCATCGGCCTTCCCACTACTAGTGTTAAGTCTTAAAAATCTCAGGTCTCGGTCACCCGAGACAAGGTCGTGTACCTGTGTGGGTTCTTTGCTGCAAGCAGCAGAAACCGACTCTTGTTAATTTAGCCAGAAGGGACTTCATTGGAGGGATGTTAGGGATTCTTAGAAATGGTCAGGAGACCGAAGAACTAGGGTTGGGGTCGGCAGGAAACAAGGCACCTGTGGAAGTGCAGGAACCAAGAATCGCTGTGGGTATCCGTGGTGGCTTTTGTCGAGCAGGAGTGCGGTGACCCCAGCTGCTCCCGGCCTCCTGGCTGCCTGCTCCAGGCAGGCGGCCGGGAGGGAGAGTCTGATTGGCCCAGCTTGGGCCCTGTTCCCACCCTGTGACGGAGGGAGGGGCCTCCAGGACTTACGGGAAAGGTCCTTCGCCAAAGGGGAATCAGGACGAACCCAGCGCGAGGAACTTTGGCCCAGCAGCCAAAGCAGCGAAGGGCCACCACAGGGCAGTGGAAGGAACCGCGGGACAGGAGGAGGCCAGGCCCGCTTTGCCTTCAGTGACTGAGGGTCAGAAAGGTGTGCTCGAGGGCGCTGGCTGCGAGGTGCGTTGCGTCTGTCTCCGTCTCACCACGTACCTGCCCACCCCCTTCTCTCCCCTAGTTTGGGGCTGGAGGGCAGCCCTGTTGTGCCCTTGATTTGCACGCGTGTGGGATCCTGAACACGTGTGTCAGAGGAGCTGGTGGTGGAGCAGTTATACTGTGATCAGTTTTGAGAAATTCAGTTTTTTAGGCCGTTTTTCTTTTTTTAATTAATTTTTTGGGAGTATAGTTGATTTACAATGTTGTGTTAGTTTCTGCTGTGCAGCAAAGTCAATCAGTTATACGTATACATAGATCCACTCTTTTTTAGATTCTTTTCCCATACAGGTCATTACAGAGCATTGAATAGAGTTCCCTGTGCTGTAGGTACTTATTAGTTATCTATTTTATAGGTAGCAGTGTGTATATGTATCCCAATCTCCCAATGTATGCCTCCCCCTTTCCCCCCCCGCCGTAACCTTAAGTTTGTTTTCTACATCTGTGACTCTGTTTTGTAAATAAGTTCATTTGTACCGTTTTTTTCTATTCCACATACAAGCGATATCATACGATATTTGTCTTTCTCTGTCTGACTTACTTCACTCTGTATGACAATCTCTGGGTCCATCCATGTTTCTGAAAATGGCATTATTTCATTCTTTTTATGGCTGAGTAATATTCCATTGTATATACGTACCACATCTTTTTTATCCATTCCTCTGTTGATGGACACTTAGGTCGCTTCCATGTCCTGGCTATTGTAAATAGTGCTGCAGCGAACATCAAGGTGCATGCATCCTTTCGAATTATGGTTTTCTCTGGATATATGCCCAGTAGTGGGATTGCTGGGTCATATGGTAGCTCTGTTTTTAGTTTTTTAAGGAACCTCCATACTGTTCTCCATAGTGGCTGTACCAGTTTACATTCCCACCAACAGTGCAGCAGGGTTCCCTTTCCTCCACCCCCTCTCCAGTGTTTATCATTTGTAGACTTTTTAATGATGGCCATTCTGACCAGTGTGCGGTGATACCTCATTGTAATCTTGATTTGCATTTCTCTAATAATTAGTGATGTTGAGCATCTCTTCACATGCCTCTTGTAGGCCGTTTTCCTGGACTGCGTCAGTGTTCACCCTGTTGGCCCCGTGGCACATTTCCTATGTGCTCCGTCCATCACTGCCCAGTTACTGAGGATTTGGTATTTTAAGTATGTTCATCAGTAGCCACACTTGTGCCTTTTGGCCTCATCTCGATACACAGCTTTCTAGCCCCGTCTGATTTTAGTTGTCCTGGAGTTGATTTATGCATGTAGCACATGGTTTCTGAATAAATATTGCCTCATGATTAAAGCTATACCTTTCAGGGACTGTTAAGTTACCCTGCCAAACCTTGTGGTGGGAAGAATGGCAGTAGACTCCTACACCTTTTTCTGACCGTCTCCATGTTAAAAGGAGAGGGCAGAGGCTTCCCTGGCGGTCCAGTAGTTAAGACTCCACGCTTCCACTGCAGGGGGCCCGGGTTCCATCCCAGTTCAGGGAGCTAAGATCCCACAAGACTCGTGGGAGAAAAATAAATAAGTAAAAACAAAAAGCATAAAAGGAGAGTCTTCCAGAAGGAAACGGGCTTTAATGTCCTGGGATGTAGGGAGATCACAGGCCTTTTTGCTTACCTCTGCATGTTTGATGACGTTTATAGTGTGCCCCCTGGGCGCAGGAAGGAAATAATGACTGGGTGCAGTTTTGTCAAGTTAACATTTAAATGACTATGGGATGGCACCCCAGTTCGGGTCCCTGTAGGGCTCGGGGCTCCCGCCATCACCTCTGCTCCTGAGTCTGACGCTGCACAGAAAGTTCTGGACGTTCCCATGTCACCGGCAGCATGGTGAAGAGTTGACCCCGTGTGTCTGTCCCGCAGCACCCCGTGCTCGACGAGCCCATCGCCGAGGCCGTGTGCATCATTGCAGACACGGACAAGTGGAGCGTCCAGGTGGCCACGAGTCAGAGGAAGGCAGTGGACAGCACGAAACTCGGCCAGGATGTCCTGGTCTCAAGCCAGGTGTCCAGCTTACTTCAGTCCATCCTGCAGCTCTACAGGCTTCACCTCCCCGCCGACTTTGTAAGTATCGTTCTCAGACCATCAGAGAAATGAGCTAAAAAAGCATTTTCCACAGCATCGTGGTTATAAAGTCACGAATTCCCGTGTATTGATTTTAGTCTAACTGGATGTTAGCATCAGTGAAAACAGAGCGTGTGACACAAAACCAGCACACGGGCTGGATTCAGTAGCAATAGTCCTTCTGGAGACAGAGCACAGAGTGACACAGTCTTTTTGAACAAGTTACATGGAGAAACAGGTAAGGTATGGGGGCAGGGATCGAGCATAAAGGGAAATTTAAAATCCTCCTTTGGGGGACTCATTGGTTTTCCCATCCTCAGGTCAAATGCAAGCCAGCCAGCTTCCGAAGGGACTAGTTCCATCTGTTCAGGGACCATCCTCCCAAAGTTGTTATGGATAAATAGAATATCGTTCGTGTAAACACTTAAAATGCTGAAGCACCATAGCCACAGGGGATGGTATCAATTGTTCCTTTTCGAATGGGATTTTAAAATCACTTTGATAATGTTACATTAAATACAAACAGTAGACAGACCCCCTAAACTCCGAGAAAATGATCAGCAGCTCTCCCTGAGTCCCTGGAATAATATGCAAAACAAATTCCTGTGTGTGTGTGTGTGTGTGTGTGTGTGTGTGTGTGTGTGTGTGTGTGTCTGTGTGCAGAGAGCTCGAGAGAAAATACACTTAGCAAGGAAGGGAGCAAGGTTTCCAGAGCAGAAGCGCAGCTGAAGGGCATGTACAGGGCAGAGCCGCGCGAGTTGGCGGGGCTGCGGCTGGGATGAGCTCACCAGGCTTCTGGACTCCCCCTCCGTCAGCCCCAAACCAAACAGCATCTCCCTTCCAGCCTCCGGCCTCCGCAAAAGATGCAGAGCTATTGACAACCAAGTAGGAGGCTGAATATGAGCCACCTCCCTGATTGCTCATGGAGGGTTTCCCCTGAGTTCTGGTGACCAGATCTGCAGGTGCACCACACTCCTCGGAAGGTCAGGACTCCTTTGTCCTTGGAGGAGGTGCTTTGAAACACTGGCTGTCATCTCAGGTGGCAGCACAGCATCACCTGTGCTGTGGACATCATGGGGGTCACGTCCAGGCTTTGCCGTTGGTTCGTCGGGCATCTCGGGGCCACAGCTTTCTCCTCTGCAAAGTGAAGATGGTACCTAGGCAACAAGCATGTGTGAGAATCCTCCAAGGTGCTGCTTTCTACCTGTCCAAGCTCAGGCGAGATGAGATGCCCTGGCAGCCAGTGGACAGTAGTGGCCAGTCGGTGGGCTTTCAGCGGCCTGGACTCAGACCCAGGCTTCTCTGCTTCTGAATCGTATGCCTTGTCGAAGCTGGGGCACCGCAGAACCTGTCCTATCTGGTTATAAAAATTAAGTGAGGTAATTCAGGTAGAGCACTTGAATTAGTGTTGGATGTTATACACACTCAGGAAACAGCTCCTATTAGTGTAACTGTTAGTGAGAACCAGTTGTGTGAACAGTGTTCACGGCTTTAAAGACTGACACCACCTTTTCACTGAAACCTTTATTTGGGCTTTAAACTGTAGGACCCTGTTCTCAGGGGTAACACAGAAGGCGCCACCTGTGGCACATTTACAACCTGATGCTTGTTTTACATCTGTAGGCGGTTTTTCCTTCTTGTAGCAACTTGCCTCATGCTGATTTAGAGGCCAAAGTCTGCTTTTCTGTAAGGGAAGAGAGATATATTTGATGTTACAGTTTTTTACTGTTATATTTACCAAACTTTTATATTTTATTCTATAATCCATATCTCTTGCTACATTTGATATCTTAGTTATCCCAGCAGTAAATTACCACAGTTAATTCTTTTTACTTCATTTAGACATAAGTTACATATAACCACTTAATAATAGGAATGACTTGACAAAATCAGGATCAAAGAACATTTCGTCTGCAGTTTAAAATTCTCCTTAAAAGTCACTCAAATGAAACACGTGATTAAAGGCCTGTTAGTACCTTCAGTACGAAAAGAGAAAGTAGGTATTTAAAATTTCAGAAGTTAAAGTTGAAGAAATCCATCTCAGAAAGGAGGGAGAGGAATCCCGAAACAGTTCAGTTTCATAGTCAGGCTTTTAAAAAAATTTCTAGGTGCTCTGATTGCAAGTTCCGTGCACATTCCATATGAACCAATGTTCTGTTTATTTCCGCACTGCAACACACAGTTTTCCTGGGGACTATGAAAACACAGTAAATTCACTATTTTAAAACATAAAGGATTCAACGTAACGTAACGTAACGTCAGTGTTCTTTTTAATATTTTACAACACTCTTACTAAAACTCTGTATTTGCTCCACAAGGAACTGACACTGAACAGGAGACCTTTCCGCACTTAACTCTGTTTTCCTGGGGGAACATTTTCCCCCGAGAGAATTGGCGAAATCCTCCTTGCTTTGATTATTACTCTTACTCACTTACCAGTTGTGTTTTGTCCACACAACACGATGCACTTAAGATTTTAAGCCAATGAAAAACAGAAAAGATTACATCTCGAATGGATACTTTTTCCATGTCACTGATCAGCCCAGGTGGTCAAGATCAACATTTTCAAGTGCATCTGTTAATCTTTTTACCTTGAAAATAGCAGGCATAATGGTCTAGAAGAAAATCATGTCTGATGGAGTGACCCTTGCTAGAGCCATCAGGTGACTTACTGAGCTGCCTGGATCGGTCTGCCTGCCAAATGCAAAAGCATTTGCCTCTGGTGCAAGACACGAGTGACTGCTATTCTCTAAAAACAAAGCTGGACACAGTTCCAAGGGTAGAGATGTTCTGAACAAAATTGCCCTTTCTTCATTGTTACTAGAGACCTAGTTAAAATACACTCTTGAGAAAAAAAAAAAAAAGGTTCAGAATAACCTTGTTCCAGTCATTCTTCTGGGAATGAATTGCACCAAAATAATCTGAGATACAGGAAAAAACAAGAAAGGTGCTCTTTACAAAATTATGTATAATAACAAAAATGCAGATGGCTATGTGATTTTAGTAATGGTAAATTCACATTCTGAAAAATCAGTCATAAAAATTATATTGATAAAGAATTTTTAATAACATGGGAAAAGGATTATTAGAAAGTTTTTTGAAAGCAAGAAATAAGTACACTTATAGAATGATTTTAACTATGTAGAAATAAATGCTTTTTTAGGAAGACCAGAAAATATATATGAAGATCTTAACAGTCACTGGAAAAATTAAACTTTATTGTTTTACAAAAACCTATTCTTTTTTTATTTTTTTAAAAATTTTATATTGGAGTACAGTTGATTTACAATGTTGTGTGAATTTCAGGTGTACAGCAAAGTGATTCGGTTGTACACACACGTATCTATTCTTTTTCAGATTCTTTTCCATATAGATTATCAGAGTACTGAGTAGAGATCCCTGTGCTTTTCAGTAGGTCCTTGTGGATGACAAAAACCTATTCTTATCCCTGCTCATGGTAGGGTTTGAGCTGGGTTGTAATTCTTGAAGTATATTTTAAAGAGATGAGATGACAGTAGCGCACTTAGAAATGGGTTGAGGGAGTTGCGGCTCTTAGACGTTGGCAGAGATCCGAGTTCTTGCCCTCACCGTGAGCGTGATTGGCTTTGCAGTGCATCATGCACCTGGAAGACAGACTACAGGAGATGTACCTGAAGAGTAAGATGCTGTCTGAGTATCTCCGTGGACACACGCGCGTGCACGTGAAGGAATTAAGTGTCGTCCTGGGGTGAGTTCTGGGGAGCGCCAGCATCCCCCTGCGGGGGGCTGTCCCCTGTGCTCTACCCACTGAGCTGTCCAGCCTCCGGGGCTCCCCAGTGAACGGCATGTTTCTTGTATCTGATACTGGAGTTTTACACCCGGAAACACATGCAGACCTTGAAGCTAGTGCTGCCTTGTGAGTCTTCCGCCTGGATTATTTTATCCTTGAAAGTGAAAAGCGTAATCCTACTCCATCTGCCCATTTCTCGTCATTTCAGTAAGATGTGAGAGTCACGAGCTGTCGCACACGCGGCAGCAGCTGTGTCTTCCTTGCTTCTTCTGGAGAAGGCGGGGAAGGCCGTTCCCCTGGACTTAGGGGCCTGTCTGCAGGTCCCGGGGTGACCGTACTCTGCTCCCTTTTATTTTCCAGAGGCTCTTTGCCCTAACTTCTCTGGGGAAAGACATTCTGACTTGTGTTTTACTCTCTGCTTAATCCTCCACAGAGAAGTAACCAAAAAAACATTTGCGATCTCCCCCTCCTCCTCCTAACCTGCCCCCCCCGCCCCCACCCCCCGCCACCAGTTTGGGGCAAGGAAATACCGTGTATAAAACGTCAACCCTGAAATTCTCTGTTAAGCCTGCCAATCAAAGTATTATTTTAAGGCTCAGGCCTCTGCATTCCTGTCGGACTTTTCATCTTTCACACCCAGGACATGACTTATACTGTATTGTTTGGCTCTTAGCGTTTCCTGTCACCTTTTTTTTTCTTACATCATTTAAAAAATATTCTCCCCCCTCTTTTTTTTTTTTTTTTTTGCGGTATGCGGGCCTCACTGTTGTGGCCTCTCCCGTTGCGGAGCACAGGCTCCGGACGCGCAGGCTCAGCGGCCGTGCCTCACGGGCCCAGCAGCTCCGCGGCGTGTGGGATGGTCCCGGACCGGGGCACGAACCCATGTCCCCTGCATCGGCAGGCGGACTCTCAACCACTGCGCCACCAGGGAAGCCCAATATTCTCCCCTTCTGAGGCATTTGCTTTTGCACTTTTTACTTAGATCTCTTCACCAGCCTCACTGTAGTCCTACCCCATACCCCATCCGGTTTCCGATGCAGGATGTGCAGCTTTTATTTCCAGGACGCTGACTGACAGGTGCCCACCATCAGCACCCCGAGAAGGATGGTGAGGGGGGATTTACCTCCTCGTCGCCAGGCCCCTCAGCGCCTTGTTCGTGGGGGTCCCTCCAGCCCCTCCTTAGCCCCTCCCGTGGTCAGGCCAGCAGCACTAAGGTGCTGGGAGCTCCCTGTCTGCCCTGAAATGAGATCCGGAGGGAGCATTACTGGAGAAGGCGTGGAAAACTCCACGAGCTCATGCCAGCTGCCATTTTAGGTTATATTTTTAATTTTTGGTTTCGGGAATCACGGGCGAGCGTTAGGACGTATTTCAAGGACCGAGACCGTCCTGACTTCTCCAGGACGCGCGGCCTTCTGCCCATGCCCACCTGTGACTGTCGGGCACGTGCTCATTGGGGGGCTCGGGCGCGTCAGCCTCGAAGAAATCTCCGGGGTTCTGGAGACGCTGCCGCCGTCATGCGTTCCCAGAGACGAACGTGAAGCCAGTGCAGACCCGGGGTGCAGGCCGGGAGGGCGGGCCGGAGGGGGACTCTCACAGAGGCCGCGCAGGGATGCAGGGAACGTAGAGTCACAGGGACAGGCTCCCGTGTCCCCGTCTCGTTCACTCCGTCATCGGTTCTGGGCACTGACCGGCCAGCCCTGGGGTCCGGCGCCGGGGCCCTTCTCGTAAGTCGTGCTGCTTTAAAGCTACGCCCCCTCCTTTCTCCGCCTTCAGGATCGAGTCCAACGACCTGCCCCTGCTGACGGCTGTCGCCAGCACTCACTCTCCGTACGTCGCTCAGATACTCTTATAAGCGGACGCTCAGATCACCTGCTCCGTGGAAGAAGGGTCAGCCGCTCAGCCGAAGGAGGGAGGACAGACGACCGCTCCCAGGACCGCTAGGCCCGGGCAGGGCAGACGGAGCCGGTCTGTCTGCGCTGGGCCGGGCCGGGCGGTGGCGTGAGCACGTCGGGGCCCAGAAGCGGGGCTGAGACGTCTCCGAGTTCCAGCGCGAGCTCCCCAAGCTGGGGAGAGGGGTCCCACCGTCCTGAGAAGACGGTCAGCGCGGGGACCCCGGGTCAGCGGCCGAGTGAAGCCCGCGCGTGCCACCCTCCGCTCCAGTGGCTGCGGCGTCACCGTCACCATCTGGCGCAAAGCACGGGGGGCCGGGAGCTCCAGGGACCCGCTGCTTCCCCGTCTTGCCCCAGTTTACCGTGTTCGAGATGCAGCCACGGGTAGGTCAGGGACGGGTCGTTGGTGCGATCAAGGCAGGAATCGGCGCGGCGACCTCAGCCCGGCCCCGTGTGGTTCCGTGGCAGCGGCGAGCTCGGCCCGACCCCGCCCGGCTTCTCCAGACGCTTCGCAGCTCTCGGCAGCCTTTCAAGCGGGGCCGTTCACAGAGTTGGTTCTGTAAGCTGGCGAGTGGTTCTGTGGCTGAACAGCTCCCGTGGAAGCCACCGTCTTCCTATACTAGTTAATACAAGTGACTATTTATACTTTAAAAGGCCCAGCTGTCCTGGTGGGAAATGAAAAGCTGCAAGAGTGCAGGATGACTCGTGAAAGGAATTCGTTTGAACGTTTGTAAACAATCCAGATACGAGCTGAAATTTTACACTATCAGCTCTGTGCCTTCCAATCCCTATGTCCTTTTCAAAACAGCTTCCCAGAAATTCACTGCCCCGTAGTATAAAAACCTGCCAAAATGAAGCATTGTTTATTTATGAGCATAGTGTGCTTTTTAGAAAACCTTAATTTTCTGTTGACGTTAACTTTAGTTTACTGACCGTGAAACAGACGATGTACTGACATCCAGGGTAAAGGAAAAGCCTCTTTGGTAAATGGATGGTTGAAAGGCAGGGGGCTAACCCAGTACAGCAGAACTGTTACACCTGCAGATCTTGAGGTCGGTTCCTTATAACCAGGTTCTGATTTCCTTCTCTTTTATGAATTGATGCCGGTCCTTTGCACCTAAGAATATGAAACGACTTCCCTTTCAGGAGTTAAGATGACTTCATATTTTCTACTTGATAAAATCCTGATCCCAGAACCCAAGTTACATTCATCTGTGTCTTTACTCTCTGACAAACGCACGCGAGTTATTTGTTTCAAAGAGGAGAGCGGCAGGACCAATGGAGAAACACAGGTGTGTTCTTCCTTTCTTAGGAATAGGAATAGGCTTGTAGCATCTTTGTTCCCCGACCAGGGACTGAACTCAGGCCCTCCGCGGGGAGAGAGCACCGAGCCCTAACCCCTGGACCCCAGGGAATTCCGCCCCGCTTTTTTTTTTACGGTGTGAAATGCAGAGAGGTGTGTTGAGGCTCTTACGATCTTGGATTTGTATTGTATGCCTTTCTCTCATAAAAGTGACGTTGTCCATTCTTTCTACGTTTTCTGTTTCCTCTTGCCTGATGTCTGGCACGAGACGGGTGTTCCGAGTCCTTGGCTCCGTGGCATCGTGGCGGTTGTCGTGGACCTCGCCCGTGGCCACCCTCTCCCCGTCCGTGCTGAGTGAGGTCACAGCGTCCCCTCTGCACCGGCTTCGAGCACCCGCAGTCTCGGTTCCCTTCTCCTCGTTGACACGTTCTGGGCGCTTCCCCTCCCTCCTCCCCCGACCTTCCAGGGCTTCACAGACAATAACTAGGAACAAAATCAGTGCACGTAGCGGCCCGGTGAGCAGTAGACCCGGCCCGGGGGACGCTGAGCTTTAAATGGCCGATTCTAAACTCCACGCATTACAGATGCGGCCCAGCCCCTGGAAGCTGAGGAAACTGGCCTTGCCGCCGCATCTCCTGTCCCCCGCCTACCCCGGGAGAAGGTGACGGAGGGAGAGCGCTCAGGACCCTGGGCAGCCCCGACCCTCACGGCTGCCGCCTGCACAGCAGACCAGGGATGTGTTGCTGCTTGTTCATAAACCCTCCCCTGGAGAACATCCACCTGTGCTCTCTCCTAAACTCAACCTCCTCCCAAAAGTGGAAAAGGATCTCATGGAACTGTGTTGAGACACACACCGGACCCCACCTGGTGGCTCGGGTCTGTCTTAGCCCAAGAGGCAAGGAAGGGACCCACCCTCGCCCAGGCCCACCTCAAGAAAAGAAACAAAAGTAAAAAAAAAAAAAAAAAAAAAAAA